CAAACTCTCAAATACAGGAATGCACCGCCATATCTGGTTATATACAGTGCTGGGAATAGAACCCAGAGGCTCAGGAATGCTGGACCAACACTCTCCCAATGGAATTGTACCACCAAACTAAAAAACGCTTTCTTTTTTTCTTTTTTTTTTTAAAAAAAAACATTTCTTATAGTTTATTTAACTTTTTATTTTATGTGCATTGGTATGAAGGTGTCAGATCCCCTGGAACTGGATCTTCAGACAGTTGTGAGCTGCCATGTGGGTGCTGGGAATTGAACCCCGGTCCTCTGGAAGAGGAGTCAGTGCTCTTAACCACTGAGTCATCTCTCCAGCCCCAAACGAACAGATTGCCGCCGGGCGGATTCCAACCGGCGACACCTGGCACCGGGGCAGAGCGTTAGGCGCTCCTAGCTGGCTGAGCCACGACTCAAGCTGATTAAAAAATGTTTTCAACAATCTCAAAGAACTCACCTTGCTTTCTCTAAAGTCTGTCCGTGTTCAAGCCCAATCAACCCTGCCCCTAGTTAGAACCAAGTTAGTCTCCGTCCCCCTCTCCTTCACAGCTGGTGTTGGAACTGGATGAAGTCAGTGAAGTGTTCTAGCATGGTTCTAGCACGGGCCATGAGAGCACACCCTAGCCCTGGGAGGCAGAAGCAGGAGAAATTTGCAAGGCTGTGGCCAGCATGGACCACAGAGGGTGCTAGGGCAGCAGTCAGGGCTACGGACAGTGAGATCTCATTTCAAACAAGAAGGAAAAAAGAAAAGAAGGGAAAAAACCAGACTAATTTAGAACCTCAGTATTTATTACTGGTGTGCCTGCTCACCACGTCTCCCTGTCAATGCCTGGTGTGCCTGCCCCCACTTCTCACCATCAATGCCTGGTGTGCCTGCCCCCATGTCTCCCTGTCAATGCCTGGTGTGCCTGCCCCCACTTCTCCCCGTCAATGTCTGGTGTGCCTGCCCCCACTTCTCACTGTCAATATCTCCATCCCATGGAGCTCTACTGCCTGACACATGGTTAACAACAGCCTCCGACCAGTCATCTTAAAGCCTTAACACCCTGCAGGGGAGAGATCACAGTCTCACAGACAGAGCTGAAACTTTCAGACAGCTCTCCAAGGCTGATGACAGTCAGTGCCACCAGCAAACAACTCCCACGCCCCAGCACCATGACTTGGTGTTGTTTTCAGAGCCCCTGTCCCTCACACCCACTCCCAGCACCCTTCTGGGGCAACAACACAGCATAACCTTTTTCTAATGTCTTAATTAAGACCTCATTCCACAGGGCATCCCTTCTTCCTATTCTGAGTGTCTCATGTGTACCTCTACAATGGTACATTGCACAACTACACTGTACATTAAAATAAATTTTATGTTTTATTTTTATGTGAGTCTTCTGTCTGCATATGTGCATACGTACCACATATGTGCCTGGTGCCTGGAGAAGTCAGAAGAGGACACCAGACACCCTGGGACTGGAGATACAGATGTCTGAAAGCCACCGAGTGGCTGGTGGGAATTGAACCTAGGTCCTCGGCAAGAACAAGTGCTTTTAACTGCTAAGCCATCTCTCCAGCCCCTATATATTGTAATTTTAGATTCCTATCTCCATCCCCCAACAAAACCTCCTAACTTATGGAGTGAACCATTTGAGGCTGGGGTTGGGGGGAATTGGTGAGGGAACATTACTGCACATCAGTCAATCAATTCCAAAAAGACCAGACCACATTATGAATGTACTCACAAAAAACACCGCTTTACAGAAACTAGGAGTGTCAGCGAGATAATGGTAACAGGATATTTATACAGATGCTGTGATCAGTCAATGGCCACCTGGTAAACAGTGAAATGTAATAAAGGGGGCTTGGGAATCAGGAGGCTGGAGTTTGAATTCTAACCATGTGACCTCTAAATCAGGTCTCTTTTGCCAAGTTATTTAACCTAAATCTGTTTCCTCACCTATAAAATATACAAACCGGTTCCTACTTCATTGAATTATTTTACCAAATAAAACAATGGCTGCACCATTCTAAGGCTGTTCACAACTGTCAATCTTTTTCCACTAAGAGAACACTGCTATTCTGTGATCCCAGCACTTGGGAAGCTGAGGCAGGAGGATTACAAATCTAAGGCCGGCCTGGAATATATAGCCACACCCTGTACTAAAAATAAAGAAAAATCCACGGGGCGGTGGTAGTACACACCTTTATTCTCTTCTGCAGGCAGAAGAGAGAGAGAGAGAGAGAGAGAGAGACAGAGACAGAGACAGAGACAGGGACAGAGACAGAGACATGGATCTCTGAATTCAAGGCCAGCCTGGTCTACAAAACCTAGTTCCAGGAGAGGTTCCAAGCTACAAAGAAACCCTGTCTCAAAGAAAAAAAAAAGAGTTAAATATGATTTAAAAAAAATAAAAAAATAAAGAAAACTCCAAGGTCATATATTGGGAACAACACTTAACTCTTCTAAAGCCTTGACCACACCCTGAGTCCCAGGCAGCCATCTCTCAGAAGTAGGTCAGGAAGATTTAGAAGAGAAAAAGGGGGAGAAAAGGTACAAATCATTTCAAGGCAATTTCATTACCACTGTTGAAAAGCAGTTGAAAACGCCTGCCCGACTTGCAGCACTGCCTTGGTCCATGAGAACAACACGTGAGTAGCAAGAACATAATGCAAACGATGATGCTGTGGAATGTAAGGAGTTTAAACGAGGCTGAACTTAGTCACGGCTCTGCTCTGCGGAGTACAGAGCTCACTGTAAAGCACTACATAAATAACACACAGCAATGCAGTCCAACAACCCTTTCAAATACGCAGAAAAAGTAAGAGAATCCAAGGTGACCTATGAGAAAGGGACCTAGTCTGGTTAAGTCAGTTTTTATTCTTCTAGCCTTTATTGTGAAAACATTCACAAATATTCTCATTTTGTTAAAATATGAAACTCTGATTTAACCCAGTTTCCTAACTTAAGGTGAGGGGATCGCTGGCGTGACTGCTTTAATTCTGAAGCTATCCTTCAACAGTCAATAATTCACGTGTGTTGTTTTTTAACCAAATCAACATCACCTGCAATATCTGTGATCCAGGTTTCTACTAACAAAGTAACAATACAAAGGCAAAAAAAAAAAACTTTGGAAACTTATCTGATGAGAAATGTACTTAACCCAGTATTAAAAAAAATTGGATTAAAGCTAGGCAAGTTGGTAGACAACTTAATTCCCAGCATCCATAGCAGAGGCAGGGAGATCTCTGTAAATTGGAGGCCAGCCAGGGCTACACAGTGAGATGTAAAAAAGGGAAAAAGAAGAAAAAAAGAAAACTTTAAAGAGATTCTGTTCTAGATTCTAATGAGGGGGAAAAGCCCACTTATCATACTGCCATTGTGGTCAGGCCAACTAACTTGCTGACTTTAACTTTATACTAATCCTGCACTGGTGAATTTAATTTTTCATAAATGTTTTAGTGTCCTGTTGACCTTGAAAAATTTCTTCCACAAAGGTTATATGTATTCCTTTCATGGTCACTAAGAGAGTTACATCATCTCAAGAACTAAGCAAAATGAAAAGACACCTTTGACACAGTATCTGTGGCCAGTCTGTATACTATATTGGTTTGAAAAAAAATTAGGAAAAACTCAAATCTGTGAAGGCCTCTAAAACACAAACTATTTAGAGGTCAGAAGAAAAAAACAGTACTTTCTGGAAGTAAAAGATTACTGAAAAACACAGATTGTGTCTTTTTAAAATTAAAGAAAAATCGATGAATACTTTTAAAAACTTTAAAAAAAATACCAGATGTTTCCAAGGCAGTATTTCCTGAAACTGCTCAAGACTTTTCTGATTTAAGATTACACTCCTGCTGTAGTTGAGGAAAACCAAGTTAGTTGACACAAAATGACTTAACAACTCAAGTATCACAATCCTCAAAATTGTTTCTCTTCCCACCTGACCCTTCACTCACCCATGTGCAGGCTCCATCCCTGGAGAATTTTAGTGGCTAAATAAACAGAAGACCATGGCCAACAGCTGAGCAAGAACCTCTTCCAACCAACCTGATGACAGACGACTACTTCCATACACTGCAGGGGAAGTTTACAAGAAGCAGTGGAAGAAACTAAACCAGCGGGGGTCTTGAAAAGAAGGCCTTCAATTTGTAGAAAGACGGGAAAAGTCAACCTCACAGGAAATTCCTTGTGCCCTAACCGCCACTGTTTTTCTGACAATCATACACAGCGCAACCCAAGTTTAAGGGGGAGGGGGAGCTTTAAAAAAAAAAAAAAGTAAAATAGAACACCAGCAGTCATTAGTAGTCTGTTAAAATTACTACGATTTAACTGGAATCTTTTAAACTATTAAGGATATACACTGTTAAATATCAAGGAATCTGTAACTACCTCTCAAACACAAAGGTATCTTTGATCAACTTATACAATGAAATGGCCACATGTATCTGGGATTTCCAATATTTCCTTTTAAAACAACCATTAAATATTATGATTTTATACTAGTGTTCTTTAAAGCTCTAAAGACACAGGCATACACAATATATCATGATCTAAATCTTGCCCTCTTTCTTGAAAACCCTTTTAAAAAGACCGAACACCTTCAAGATGTTCTCCTTGTCTTCAGACCCTAAAAAAAAGCAAGTGAAGTTCCGAATGAAGATACAAGGAAAGAGAATAAAGGAGAAGAAAACATGAGACCCTCTCCGGGGTCTTGCATTCTCTATTCTCTATCCCTGGAGTATTTTAGTGATTGAGTAAACATACTGAGGAGACCGTAGCCCAAAGTAGAGCAAGGGCTTCTTACAATACAACCAACCTGATGATGAATGGACTACTTTCACAATATCTCATTATTCTTAAAAATGCCATTTTGTCGCCTTCCCGATCCCAAAAGCCCGACACCACTAGCGCAAAATCGTCCCCGTCCAAAGCGCCTAAGAGTTGCCAAGTAATCCTTTCAAGGTGCCCCCCCGCCCCCCACGCCCCAGCCTCCTCACCTCGTCAGCGCTCAGCTCCTCCATCGCTTTCCTCTTAATGGTGAAAGGCGTTAGGGAAGAGATCCTCAGTTCTTGAGATCAGGGCGGGAGCAAAGGAGACGGGAAGGTATCTAGCGGGCTGTCTGGTTCCCCCCAATGGGGGAGGTTTCAGAATTGCATAGTCAGAGGTTAAAAACTAAGAACACGAGGCACTGAATCGCCTTGGCTCCGGTCGCTCGGATCGCCCCAACCTCCTCCAGCTGCAAGCGCCCTGAGCCGCCTCCTCTGGCCACGGCCGCAGCTACGGGGTCCTCTCCAGGCTCCACAGACTCCCCTAGCTTCCCAGGTTACCCAGAGCGGGCGGCGCGGTCTCCAGCTCGGCTCGTGCCCGCTGCGCGCCGTGTATTCGTGGCGGTGACGCGGCAGCTGCGTTTCTCTCCCGCAGACCCTGCTCCGGGTCCCACCCCTGGCCCCTGGCGGGAACGGCTCCGCTGCACACTGGATGCCCCCGAGGCGCCGCGACCCTACGGCAGCCCAGCCGGAGCCCAGCGTAGGACCGGGAAGCCCCTCCCCTCTAAAAGCAGGCCAGGCTCGCCCCGCCTCCACGCAAGAACCCTGGTAGGGGGAGGGGAAGGACGGGACTGGCGAAGCCCTCGCTGGGAGAGTGAATCCTCCTACCCCTCCAACCCTACTCTTACCCCCTCGCCCCACCAAGTATTATTCATCAAAACAACAGGGCGGCCATCTTTGAAAGGGATCACGTGACCCTCGATGGGGAGGCGGGGCTTCTGGCACCCGGACGCGGCAGCCAATAAGCGACGGGAGCCGCACCGCCGATTTCCTCTTCCCCTGCATCTTGTCCCCGCCCCCTGTCCCACCCCCTTCCCCCCCCCCCGGGGCCCGGGGGGGGGGGGGGGGGGATGGGTGGGAGGGGAGCTGCCAGGCTAAGAAGGGAGGGAGGCGGGGCGGGGCGTTTCCATGGAAACCGCGCGTAGGCGAGGGGCGCGGTGGGCGGGGCTCAGGTAGGCACGCTGAGGGTCGGCTGCGCCAATCCGGAGGCGGGCCCGCCGGGGTCGCTGCTGGCCCCTAGGGTTTCCGCGGTGCGGGTTTGCTGTCTAACGACGTGGGAATCTGGCCTCCCGCACCTCTTGGATGCTGCGAGCTGCGGCAGAAACTAGGAGAAGAGAGGAATCGGAGAAACGTTTGCTCTCTGCGGGGAGCGTTTTTGCACCAGGCTGCAGATGCCTTGTTGCGCTCTTCCCCTCCCCCAGGAAAGCCCATGGAAAAAAACTAACAGGAACTTAATTTATTTTATTTTACCTTTTTCTTTTAGAGAGGCGCTCTTCTTTGTGCTAGAGAGTATTGATACAATCTGAAAGTGTCAGTGAATGAGAGACATTTCAAATGATTGAGAAATGTGTTAAACAACTTCTTAAGGAAGCCTATTGTACAGCCCGCTCAGTCCGACATAAACTTCTTTACAATATATGTCTAAATTGAGCAAAATAATAGTACCATGAAAATCCGAAATTGGCCTCAAAGTATATATTGTCTGGCGTACAAAAGCCATAATCTTGTTCTTAACTGTTCTTTAGACAGGATCTTGCTATGTATCTCAGATTGTCTGAAATTTGAAATCCTCCTGCTGGAATGTGCGCCACCATCACAGACTATCAAACTGTACCATTTATTTATGTCTCTTTATTGTTTGTATCAGGGTCTAACTGGCCTGAAACTGGCTATGTAAACTGAGCTGGCCTCGAACTCACAGAGATCAGCCTGCCTCACCCTCCCAAGTGCACAGCTACTCCTAGCTGAACGATAATCTTAAACATTCTACTCTAGTTTAAACGAGTTACATTTGATCTTAGACGAAAGGCCTAGAAGTGACTAAAATAGCTACAATTTGTTTGCTACATGCTAAAAACGGGAACATGACTACTAGATATGCAAAGAATTTGTGACTAAAATTGAAGTCTGCAGGCTTTTCAGGAAGGCATTCTTCTTTTCAGGAAAGGAATTCTGCGTGAGCTGTCCTGGACCCTAGTTACACTGACGCTAATTACATTGTCTTTTTTGAAAACGTCGTAATTGCAATGTAACCTCAGATTAAATCACACATGTAAAGTATACAATGGCTTTAAGATAGTTATAGCTGATTAACATCATTGCTCTCTAATTCCAGAACATTTTAATCACCCAAGAAAGGAACCCTCCAACACACTAAATGTCCTTCCTCTTCCTGCCACTACCTCCTGTAACTAATCTGCCTTCTGTCTCCATGGATTCACCTACTCTTCAGCTTTCACAACAAATAAAGCAAATATTCTACTTCTTGTGTCTTTTCCTCTTTTCTCACTTTCTCTTGCATTTTCTTTCTCTTCCATCCTCCCATCTTCCTTTTTCTTAATAAATCTTTTTTTTTTTTTAGATTTCTCTTATGGGTACATATGTTTTGCCTGCATGTGTATATGTACACAACATGTATGTAGTGCCTGAGGAGGCCAGCAGAGGGTATCAGATCCCCATGAACTGGAGTTACAGATGAGCCACACACAGGGCCTGGGAACTGAGCCCATGTCTTCTGTAAGCAGCAAATGCTCTTAACCACTGAGCCATCTCTCCAGCCCTCTTTCTTTCTCTTTCTTTCTTTCTTTCTTTCTTTCTTTCTTTCTTTCTTTCTTTCTTTCTTTCTTTCTTTCTTTCTTTCCTTTATTCTTTCTGTGTAGCCCAGGTGGTACTCAGACTCCCCAGCTCCTGAACTCTCTTCAGCATTTGTCTACCAGTGTGCACCATCACAACCAATCAGCTCATCTGGCACCCATGATTTTTGTGTCTTGCAGCACACAACAGTGTTTCATTTCTTTAATGTCAAACAACATTCCTAGCCAGGTACGGTGGCACAAACACCTTGGCTCAGCACTTGAGAGGCAGAGGCAGGCAGATTTCTGAGAGTTTGAGACCAGTCTGGTCTACATAGTGAGTTCCAGAACAGCCAGGTTTTGTAGAGAGACCCTGGAGAGGAGAGAGAGAGAGAGAGAGAGAGAGAGAGAGTTGTTTTTGGTTCATGAGGACTTGGACCTGTTGTCTTTAGGCTTATGACAAAGAAGCATGCTGTGGAAGGGCCAGGATGCCAATTTAAAAAAAAATTTTTTTTTGTTTTGTTTTTTGAGGCAGGGTTTCTCTGTGTAACTACAGAGATTCATAGAGACAGGATCGCCCCTTTTGAGGTCTGAGCATTGGTAGAGATAGGAGCTCTCTACTGACTGTCTGCTCTGCTTCTCTGATCTTTCAGCTTTCACCCCCTAATATATGACTCCAAGTTTCTATTATTAAGAACAATTAGAAGGTGGGGGAAAGGTAGGGGGAGTGGAAGAAGCGGAGGGAAAGGGAACTGAAATTGGTATGTAAAATAAAAGATTGTTTTAAAAAATAAAATAAGTTAAATTTAAAAAAAAGAATAATTAGAAGTCATGCTACACGTCCCCGCTCTGCATTCTGGGAATGAAGTGCAAAGTCTCACTCACCACCCCTCCATCACGATGTTCTCCTTTGCCTTGCCCCAAAAACAGCAGGAGCAACCAATCACAGAACGGAACCTCCAAAACTGTAAGCCAGATGAATCCCTTCTCCTGTAAGATGATTATCTCAGGCAGAACTGCTACACTGACAGGCAGCTGCCTAATTAACCTCCACTTAACTAAACCTAAGCTCCTGCTCAGGCAGGAGCCATAAGGTCCTCTGCATTTTAGCTACCTGTCTTTCTTGTCTTTTCAGACAAAGCACTTGAATGGGGATTGTGGACAGCATGCTGCAAGTTACTTGGTGGCAGCCTGGGTCAACTGCTTCCCAGCGTTGAGATGATGAGTAATGCTCACACCCAGCAGTCCCAGAGCTGGTGGTAAATGTGCTTCCACCATATTAAAAGGCTGAGAGAGGCGGAGCCAGTATCCACGGCCACTACAATCAAGCTGCTTACCATTTTAAAAGTGTTCCTGGTCAAAAAATGATTACAGATATGCAATAAAGACAAATAAAAATGAACCTCTAAATGGGTCATAGTATGTTTTTAAAATGTACGTAGGCTAGATAGAGAAAAAAAAGAACATAAACAGTTACAAAAAATAGTTTTAAAAAATAAAACAGTTATTAAAGAGACAGTAAAAGTAATATAAAAGAGTACAGACAGTCATAGATTAAAGAAGTAAAAGAAAATAAACCACATAAATATGGAATATATGCAGAGTCTGGATTATACATATTGTGTTTTCTTTTAATTTTTTGACTACAGAGAGACATTTGATTCTGGGGACTGCTAAGCTAAACCAATATATGTTTTAAAGGTATCTTGGCTTCAAAATTTGGGTCTAAAGATATGTTGCTTTAAAAGAAGTCCTACTTTTGTTTCCACAGAGGATAAAAATCTATATATTCCTTCCAGACTAGTGTTGATTTATGGAACAAGATCCATCAAAAGGTCGCCATAAACAGCCCCAAAAATTACTTTGCCCAACAAAAAGCAAAAAATAATTTATAAAAAACTACATCCAAATTCCCAAATATTGTTTATAAATGGTCCTTACATTTAAAGGGGGATATGCTATAAAGATGGATGCTTTGCATTGGTATGAATCTTGGTCTACTGATACAAATTTAAGGTCACCTTTATTATATGTATATTTCTGCTCTTAATTAAGGCATCATGTTTGTGCAACTCCTTTAAAAATGTAATGAATAATTAAGAAATACAGATTAATAGATAGTCATCTATAATAGTCAAGTCTGTAGTCATGTAGCTGCCACAGGAGACAGATGCCTCCACTGGAGCCCACCAAAACTTTGCCGGTGGGCCACGACCTAATGGTGATGCACAGATTAATGGAGATGGGTTAGTTTAGGATATAAGAGCTAGTTAAAAATACGCTTAAGCTATTGGCCAAGAAGTATTGCAAATAGTATAGTTTCTGTGTGATTATTTCGGGTCTAAGCACCCGAAAACAAACAAACAGCCTCCGCCAACAACACACCCTGCCTCCTGCAGTCCTTCAACTCCACTGCCCTTTCATGGTTCAGAAAGGTAAACGTTTTCCCTCCTTGGCGCCTGACAGTGGTGTCTCCTTTGCCTGGAGGATTGATCTCCTGGATCAGTGGTTTATTTTGCATGGTTTATTCCTTCTTAGCTTTTAGCTTTTGGATTAAATGTGGTTTCCTCCTTCATGCATTCATTAATTTACCAAAAGTATACATGTGTGTGTTCCTGTTTGTGTTTGTGCACATCTATGTATGTGTGTGCATGTATGTGAGGCCAGAGGACAATCGTGGATATCATCTCAGGAACACCATCCACCTCCTTTGAAACAGGGTCTCTTGTTGGTTAGACACTAGCCAGTGAGCCCTGGGATCCTCCTGTCTCCACCTCCCCAGTTGTGGGCTGACAAGCACATGCCTCCATATAGCGGTTGAACTCAAGGCTTCATTCTTGCAAAGCCAGACAACAACTTCTAGAAATGGGTTCTCTCCTTCCACTGTGTGGGTTTCGGGATTGCACTCACGTCAACAGGCTTGGTGGGAAGTCCCTTTACCTGCTAAGCCGTCTACCAGATGAACTCATCTTTTTCCTTTGCACAGGACTGGGGAGAGGCCACTGAGCCACATCCCCAGGAAAGGAAGAACGAAAAACCTTCAGATGTTGCTCATGCTTTCTCTTAAAACTTTCTGACATGTAACTAACATGTAGTCTAGCTCTCTGTTTTTTCTCCTTGTCTGTCTG